AGCTGGGAGGGGGCACAGCCAGGACAGCTGACCCAAACTGGCCAAAGGGATATTCCATACCCTGGGACGTCATGCTCAGTACATAAACTAGGGAAAAGCTGGCCAGGGGGCTGCTGCTCAGGAACTGGCTGGGCATCGGTCAGCCAGTGGTGAGCAATTGCATTGTGCATCACTTGTTTTGTATATTCTTTCATCATTACTATTTTCCCTTTCTTTTCTGTCCTATTAAATTGTCTTCATCTCAACGCATGAGTTTTACCTTTTTTTTTCCGATTCTCTCCTCCATCCCACTGCAGGGGAGTGAGCAAATGGCTGTGTGGTGTTTAGCTGCCTGCCAGGTTAAACCATGACAGCATCTTTTAACTCCAGGTATACCTACATTTCTTTTGTGAACAGACTTGTCTCCTAAATGATGTAAAACTTCTTAATAACTCTGCCATGAGGTCAGCTGAGAACACAGACATGAGATGCAAGTTGACGTAACATCGGTTTTGCTTTTGGTGCAACCGATGTTATTTCTCCCATGGCATTTTGCTATTCTGTTACGAACTCTTTGATGGCAAGAGTTCTCTCATCACACTCGCATGTAAAACACCTCTCACAGGTTGTAATACAGAAAGATCGTATTTGCATTATTTTTCTTGCTGTTTTATGCCTCATAGTTACACAACAGGGTTTTACCTAACAGTTCACAGCTACTGGAAGGAGCTTCTTCCCCCCAGCTCTTTAGAGCTTGGCGAGGTTTTTCAGGCCCTTTTTTTCCCCTACCTGAACCAACCCACCTCAGAGTCGGGCAGGAGCCACCTCAGGAAGGCGCACCCAGGCACAGTGGAAAGAAGGGGGACCACCCCTCACCACGGCACCGCCAGACAACCTCCGGGGTCTCTTCGCCACCAGAGAAACTCCAGGGCCTCACGGGGTTTCCTATTCGAGCCCGTTGTGTGATCAGTGCGACCCGCTTACTCCGCGCAGCATGATGTGTGCAGGGCACCCTCCCGTTGAACGTCCAGCCCAGCACCGGCAGTCGGGGTGCCAGGAGGAGCTGTGCTTCAGCACCAACCGTGT